TGATCATCGAGAAGTTTCTTTATTTCGGCAAAAGTCTTTCCGGTTAAGTCGTTGTTGCTAAGTTTCTGCAGAAGTTCGAATGTCTCTGTGAGAAAACTGGCGCGCTTTACTTTGTCGTCCGTGTCCCCACTAGCAATAAAGTGCTGCTCCATGTGTTGAATATATGTCGCCCATCTTTCTGCACTTCAGTTAATTGATCTGACAATTGAGCCATACTTGGCTTGTCCATCAGTACCGGGCAAGGGCTGAAGTGAGGTTATCTTTTGTTGCAAACATTTTTTTCAGAACTTCTTTATTGGTATATAGGAAATTATTGAATTTTTTCCCGTTTTCTTTGCATGCGGTTGGTTTGTTGCAACTTTTAACAAAAATTTAATTAACATTTAATTTTCATGTTATTTCATGTTAGAAATTCTTAGGTAAATTAGGCGATATTTATTGCTAATCATTCATTCATTCAATTTACTAAATTTTTTGGAAGTGCCGTGTCGATGTGCACACATATGTACATCTATTAAAACATGCCTTACCGTAAATTGCTTACAGGGAGAATATAGAGACAAAGAAATAACGAAAATACACTATTGAGTAGAACACGAAATGTAATTAAAATGTACTACAAATTTACATTTAATTGAGTTCCTTTGCGAAGTTCGTTCAAATGTGCATTGGTTGGAATACCGCCTAATTTTGATTCCTTTCATATTGATTATATGACCTTGGTTTTTAGGTATTGTTTAGCTAAGAATTTTGCTTCAGTGTCTACAATGCATGAAACAAATTCCTTCACTTGTGTTGTCATAAGGGTAAAGTCCATCTTCCACTATTAACGCAAAATGATTTTTTTATAAAAATAAGAATCACAAAATTATTTCGACAATATTTAAAGCAACAATTCGGCCTATACTATGGACAGTTCGGAAACTAATATTTCTGACACAGTTTTAAGAGGAATTTATCATTTCAAAATTTACGACATAATTTATCACAGAGCGGGACCCAAGGTCAGAGCATATGCTCGTACGCCAATTATGCCTAGTTGTATTTCTACGAAGTGCGAGAGTAATCAAATAAAACCTGCGATGATGTTTTAATTAGGCAAATTTCAGTTGAATTGGATAGATATAATCCATTTATTCGTTTATTTCGTACAATGAAGGAACATTGTGAATACTCTATTCAATGCACAGAAAGAGATTTGTATGGCAATTACCGTGAATCGTGATACAGATATACGAAGATAAAATGAATGAAATATGATATCCTTTTCAAAAACAAATGGTGTGGTTAAGAATGTATTAGTATTAGACTCAGCTTTGGATCCATTGGCATATCCTTTACTATTCCCAAATGAAGATTTTGGTTGGCACGTTAATATATCGCGTAACGTGCAACATAATTCTAATGGTAGACAGATTTGATAAGGTTACCATGTTACAATTTGCATGTTTCAGATTTGCAATACGGGATTAATTTAGCATTGCCTAAATTCAATTGATTCTGTCTTATAAAATGTGGTCGATATACGTCTATTCTCACATACATGTTAGCTTGGGAATTCTTCTTCATCCTTCACTGGGTCTCCGGGAAACATGTATCAAAATTACTTAAATGTTATGTAATTTTTTCAGCACTTCTATAAACCATCGCTCTTTGTTACAATGACTAATAAGTAAGTAATATTGATCCTAATGAATTATCTCATTTTAGGCCTGAAATAGTTGTGCGTGTATTTAAATCGAAGTTAAAGGAACATTTGTAATAAATATGTTTTCGGCAATCTTATATATATATACCATCGAATTTCAAAAAAGAGGTTTGCCACATGCTAAAAATTTGGAAAATTTATGTGAAAATGATAAAATTGTCGGGCGGGCTGATATTGATAAAATTGTTTGCGCAGATAAACCGGAAAAAAATGTACAGTCACAATTACATAAATGTGTTGGCAAACACATGGTCCCTCATCCATGCGGTGTTTTGATTCCAAGCTCTCTATGTATGCAAGATGGAAAATGTTCGAAAGAATTTCCAAAGAATTTTGTACAATCAGCGAAAGAATCAGTTTATGATTATCCGTTGAATAGACGACACGATAACAAAGTTTCTTAAATTGGCGTAAAAGACAACGAGAAGGAGATAAAATTATTACTCGGATGTATATGGTGGTTTGCCATCACATAAGTTGGAGCTCAAAATTAATGCGATAGTTTTGGTAATTAACAATTTAAATGCGAAGCAAGCATTAGTGAATGACATATTCAGGGACTACAATGCCATTTAATTTTCAAAGATCAAAATTTCCAGTTATCATTGCATTTGCTATAACAATTAACAAATCCTAAGGACAGACATTTGATAGAGTTTTAATAGTGTTGAGGAGCCCTGTTTTTCCGTATGGTAAACTTTACGTTGCAGTCAGTAGAGTTAGATCATTTGAATGTCAGTAATGATGGTGGATAAGGTCATTTTTCTAATTATGAAAAGGTGTTTACAAAAAATATTGTTTACACTGAAGTTTTGAGAACTTTGTAATATAAAATATAGAATTATTATTATACATTATTATCGTTTTAGATTTAGTTTCCGTTTAAATGTTTTTATTCGTTCATTTCCTAATTTCATTTCTTTGCTTCTTCAGAAATTGCTGCTTTCTTTAGATTTTGTTCAAATTCTTCAATATCTTAATGAAACTTGGTACACATGGTACCGTAAGACGGTTGCTATTGCAGAGGGGCGTAATCGGACCACTGCCACGCCTACAAAATACCATTAATCGAAAACCACTAAATTTCCATAACTGAACTCTACAATAAGATACAAGACTATTATTTTCTATAACGAATCGCATTAGGGAGGGGAATCTGCAGTCTAAAGAATTGTTTAAAAGTGGGCGTGGCCCTACCCTCTTATAGGTTTAATGTGCGTTTCTCCTAAAGCTATCAGAGACTTTGAGTTTTACACACAGGATGGTACAATTAAGCTTTATAGGCGTGGCACCGACCAACTTTAGGTTAAAACCCATATCTCGGGATCTACTTGACCGATTTCAACCAAATTTGGTAAGTAACATTATCCTGAGATGCCTAATTACAGTGCGGGTGAAATCGGACGAAAACTACGTCTACCTTCCAAATAAAACAATTTGAAATTCCATCTGATTCTATCACTTTCTAGTAAACAAATCAAGCACCAACGAATGTATCGGGAAAAAACTTTGCCCGAATAGTGCGCTTAAAGTTGGCCACCTTGTGACCAAAAATTTTTAAAATCAGATTACGACCAGTTCCCACAGCGAACATTTTTACAAAACATATCGGTAAACCTCTGAGAATGTTATTAAAATTCGGAGCAACTCCTTTCCTGACATTTGCCTGTATGTAAAAAATAGGTTGAATCGGGTCAATATTTCCCTTAGTCTAATAAAAAGATTTTCGTACTTCCGGTTGACTTTATACCACATACATCGGTTAAGTTATTTTAATGAAATTAAGAGAGCGTATTTTTTTAGTAAAAGTGTATCTTTATACCTAAAGTGGATAAAATTGCGCAAAAACTTGCCTTAGCCCCATATGACTGATATTCAAGATTTTGAAACATTCGGCTGACTGTACCCATATGTATGTATATATATTTATAAAATTGCTTGAAAATAAGTTTTCAACTATACCTGACTAATGTCAAAAATTAATGCAATCAACCCTTCTATTTCTTTGCCCCTTATATATGTATGATTTCTGACTTTCCACCTGATTTTAAACCGTTTAGGTTGATGAAAATGTGTAATACTTTAATGAAATAAAGTGGACAAGTTTTCTTTTCAAGTTTTCTGGTTTAGCGCTAAATATATAAAGATTTGGAGTAAACCTTGCTATAAGCCTCATATACCCAATATAATGAATTCCCATCATCTGGTTGACGTTTTCCACTTTATCTCAAAATTTTAAACTTAGCCTATATAAACTCTCACATAGGTATATCTCATTTGAAAATGATTTTATTATAATTATATATTTTATATTATTATATAAGTAGATGCGAATAAAACTAAATGAGTCTATGACCTACAAGTATAACATAACATAATAAGATACATTCTCTACTTGTGCGCGAACATGTTCAATATGCAATATGGTAAAAAAAACATACTTAAATTCGCGTTTTGATTTGCTTCAATAAGTAAAAACTAATTTCAGATCTGTAAAAATATGAGATAAAAATCTCTCCAAAATAGAATTTCCACATAAGCTAAGGACAAATTGACAAATAAATAGTTAAAATAATGAATCAAAAAGAACAAAGAAATAAATGGATTTAATTGGAACAAGCGATTTGAACAACAAAACAATATATTTAGTGGCAAGAGACAGCCCTTAAAAATTCGCATATTTAGAAGAAGATTACTTAATATAATCTTTAATCACTAGACGTGTTTTCTTGAGCATTTGCGGTATTTTCCTTTATGGAAGTTTTAAAAACTAATAAAGTTGGATATGGTATTATCAATAGAAATAGATGCGGGGATGCCTTACACATAAATCATCAACATATTTAAAAAAGCTACGAGTTTTAATTTACTACTGGGGAAAAATGACTAGTCGTACCGTACAAATTGTTCGTTGTGATAGTTTTTGGAAAGCAGTATCTTGCCCACCCTAAAGTATTCGCCCTTTTTAATGATGTGGCACTATAACCAAGTTTGGTGTTAAGCAGCTTATTATTCTAAAGAGATACACTATTGAACAGCTGTCTGAACATACTCCAAATATAAATTTTCGCCTTTGCCTCAGAGACAAAACGGTAACCAAATATTGACAGAAATTTCACCAGGATTAATTATAAACACTTGCAGTTACATTTTTAGCAGCTACATAACATAAAGGATATGCCAAAAGAAATGAGAGAAATATTGATATCTCTGGCGAAGTAAATGCCATTTTTCGCTTAAATTAAATTTTTCTGTCATATTCATAACTTGATTACTTTTTTCATTTTTGCAGTCCCTCCCATGCTTTTGATACCACATCAATTGGTTGGGGCTCCAGAAGGTTTCAACGTTACAATTGAATGTTTCACGGAAGCACATCCAACTTCGTTAAACTACTGGACTCGCGGGGAAGGCCCCATTATACACGACTCCTACAAATACAAGTGAGTACACAATTAATGATGATTTAAAATATTTACTTTATGTATTCGTCATTAATAATAAAAATAAATTTTTTGTAACTCCTCAAATTAATCTAGATAGTTATAAAGCTATTTATATATATGTATGTATGTACAATTGTACATACATATACAAGTAATATTTTTAAACTATACGATTTAATTTTATATTTATTAACAATTGTATGCTTAATTTACATTATTTCATTTGAATGTTTGCTTAAGAACTAAACTAAACTGTCGATAACAACTTCTACCTTGATTGTTTTTACTCCTATCGTATGAGAGCGTATTAGAGATATTTATGATTTGAGTGAGTGTAGCAATGTCACTCCTCCCATCTACAAATATTTCAATGTCCTCATTGCAGTTTTTTGTTTTTATTATTTACAAAATGTGTAGAATTAAAAAAAAATTAACAAATTCATATAATTCTCAATAATATTACTAAATTTTTTTTTTTTTTTTACAAAATACTTAAAACTATTAATTATAAACATTAATCAGTTATACATATTTTTTCTTTCTTTTAAATTGGCTTTTCGGTTTGAACAAGCCGTACTTTTTTATAAGAGTTACTAATCTTATCCAATCTTTTCCTAGAGGTTTCGGCGCTAACAAAATTCGTATCTATTTCTTTTTCTTGTCGGTTTTGATTTATGTTATTTATCCTTCTTCTTTAATTAATTGGGGATTGGTTTTTGGATGTTTTCAATTAAAAAATGTATTATACGGACTTTCACCTGTAGTGGAATGAGAAATAATATGGTTGTAGGTAAATAATGCTTGTTCAATTTGAAGGTATTACAACTCTTTATCCCCAGAACTACAAATAATTCGCAATTTTCCATTCATTGTTTTATGAAACCGCTCAACGTCACCAATACCAGTTTTCCCAGTTGTGACTTCGACTGCTATATTCAATTGTTGACACCACTGCTTTATGCTAACATTATTGATACCTTGGTCCTGGTCTATTTTTAATGTCTTCGGAGGTCCCATAAAATTAAAAACCTTTAGGAGGGCTTTCTTAGTTTCTAACCAATTTAAAGATGATACTTTTTCAGCTGTCGCAAATTTGGAAAACAAATCAATACATGTTAGATAATTTTCATCATCCCATTGCCAAAAGTCTACTACAAACTTTTCTCGAGTCTCATACACAGGAGGCGTAACTTAAAATGGTAATTTGTTCGAAATGTGGTTGTTTTTGCAATGGTTGCATAACTCACATTCATTAATTATTTTAGTTATCTCTTTAAGGTAATTAGGGTAATAGTATTTTTGCTTGAAACAGTTTGCTACTTTTTCGATTCCTTGATGCAGTCCTTCGAGGTGAATTTCTAATATTTTGGATTTGAAGGCAAAATAATCTTCAATATTTTCTAATTCCTTCATGGTTCGGTAAATTTTAAATCTGTTTGAAGTAATCAGAGTTTTATAAATGTTTTGAAATTGTACAAAGTCGTCGTCATCGGTCATAAGTATTGTTGTATTTTTGTTTAACAAATGAGTTTTAATTAAGTCCTTTATTCATTCAGTTGTTAGTTCCATATAATATATAGTAGTAAGATTGTTAGAAAATATTTTGCATGTGTTAGTACAATTTTGGTTAGATCTTATTAGCTTAAATTGGTTTTTGAATACGTTCAATGGCCTTTCGGCAATTCTAATAAACTCGCCGGAGTCTTCGTCAGCGGAATGGATTTTGGCTACATTCAGCAGTTTCTTCATTAACGTTACATTCTTCAATTCTAACCCGAGATAGCGCATCGGCAACATTATTTTCTTTACCTGGAATGTATTTAATATCAAAATCGTATTCATTCAACCTAATCTTCCACCGTTGCAGTTTTGCATTTGTCTCTTTTAAATTATGTAACCATTGCAGAGGGCGATGATCACTATTTATTAAGAATTTTTTGCCGTATAAATACGGTCTAAAGTATTTCGTAGCCCATACCATTGCCAAGAGCTCTTTTTCTGTTACCGAATAATTCAACTCATGTTCATTAAGTGTACGGCCGGCGAAACAGATCGGATGCCCATTTTGGCTTAACATTGCTCCTAATGCTACATTAGAGGCGTCTGTCGTTAACGTAAATAACTTCTCGTAATTTGGATACGCCAGGATCGGCTCTTTTGTTATTAATAACTTAATAGTTTCTATGCCTCTGATAAATTCTTTATCTGAACTATTCACCACATTGCCTTTCTTTAAGCAATTCGTTAAAGGTTTTGTTATTTTTGAAAAATTTTGAATAAATTTACGGTAAAATCCCGCTAAACCCAAAAATTGTTTTATTTCCTTTTCCGTTTTGGGAATTGGATAATTTAAAATTGCCACGACTTTATTTGGATTTGGTTTTATGGCAGTAGGGGTAATAACATGGCCAAGAAACTCGGTTTCTTGTTTTAAAAATTCGCTTTTGTCTGGCTGTACTTTTAGATTCGCTTCAGCTAATCTTTGAAACACTTTATCGAGCGATTCGATGTGCTCTTGCAGAGATGTACTGAAAACTACTATGTCATCTAAATAAACCATGCAATCTTTCCCAATTAGACCTTCCAAAACTGTATTCATAAGCCTTTGGAAAGTGGCTGGTGCATTTTTTAAACCGAATGGCATTCTCAAAAATTCGAAGTGGCCATTTTGAGTAGAAAAAGCGGTTTTTTGTCTATCTATAGGATCCATTTCGATTTGGTGGAATCCTTGCGCCAAATCAATTGTCGTGAAGTATAGACATTTACCTAACTTTTCAAGTATCTCGTCCATATTTGGAATGGGGTACTTGTCATCCACAGTGATATTATTTAACTTTCGGTAATCTACAACGATTCTCCATTTTTCTTTACCTGAAGCATCTAGCTTTTTAGGCACCACCCAAATCGGTGCAGAATAAGGAGAAGTACTGTGGCAAATTATTTTTTGTTCTAGCATATCTTTATTCTGTTTATTTACTTCCATTTTATGTACTTCTGGGTATCTATAAGATTTAACATATATTGGATCTTCATGAATAGTTTTAATTTGTGAGTGAATGTAAGTTTCTCACCTTCTTTGTAAAATAAAGTTTTGTGTTTCCCCAGCAATTTATTAAATTTTTGCGATTCTTCATTATTTAAATGGTTGAGTCTAAATTTGGCAGTAAATTTGTCATCATTAACATTCAACTCGGTTAGTAAGGTAGTGTGTGTATAATTTTTAACATTGTTGAAAAATTTGTTTATATGTCCTTGTAAACTAATTGTATTATTTTTTAAATCGATCTTAGAGTTGAGCTGACGAAGTGTATTGTAACCTATTAATCCGTCGTAATTATCGGAAAAATTATAAACGTAAAACATCATTTTGTGGTTATGGCAATTGTCGAAAACTTCTTGAATCTGTTTAAGTAATACTTTTCCTGTAGCTGTTGTTAGTAATATTGGTTCAATTTCAATGATTCTACTACTAAGAACTTGGGGCTTAATTAAACTGACAGAAGACCCCGTATCTATCAAGAACTTTATATATTTACCTTCGATCTTTAATTCGATCGTGGGCAATCCTCCGAGGCTTCTAATCGAAAATTTGACTGCTCAAATTCCATTGGTTGAGGAGCGCCATATCGCCTTATTCTAGATTGATTCGAATTAAGTTCATTTTGCCTTCTTATTTGTTGCGAATTTATTTTAGGTACAATATTAGTATTAAGCGCACTAAAATTATTTCTGTTAGTATAACTATTAGGAGAATTTAAAGCTGTATTCATTTCTGGGTAATAATTCAATTCAAAGTAATTTGGATTTGAGTGATAAAAATGATTTGAGTTATTAGGTGATGGGGTATATCCTCGATAGTTATTGCCATGAGAATAGTCAAAAAATCGATTTCCACTAGGTGAGGGAAAATGTTGAAACTCGTTACCATTTACTCTATTTGAATTTATGTAAGAAAGGTTGGAAACTCTGGGAAATAGGATGTTTCTCTGGTTATAATTTTGTTTGCTTTTGTTTAGTCTTCTATCATCTTCAAATACATTATTTTCTTTCAAAATTCGTATTGCTGACTTAAGGTCTGTTACTAAATTTGCATTTATTAATGCAGTTAAATAATTTGGCAATTCCCTTTTTAATGTCTTTAAACTAATTTGATCTAGCTCTTTATACAAAAATGTTTTGATGGAAATATTTTCATTTTTTAATTTGATACAATCTTTTACTCTACATACTTCTATGTTAATTTCTTCGCACAATAATTTTACGCTATTCTTAAATTTTATATTACTTATTTCCAAAATAAGAGTAGACACAGGTGTATGTTCGCCAAATTCATCAATGAGCAATTGTCGTAGTGTTGTCCAATCACATGGTTGCTCCCGTCTTACAATATCCAGAGCAGAATCTCTTAGAGTGCAGGTAACGCAGTTAAAATAAAATGCAGCCTCTTCTAAAGAGATTGTTGTGTACCGAGGTACAATGCTGTCGATGTACAACGCTAAGTAGTTTATGTTGCCGTCAAACGGTTGAATCTGCCTAATGGTTTGCATGACGAGATCGCGCTTATCTTTTGCTTCAGTCATTATTGTTTCTTTATTTATACTAAGAGAGCTCAATTTTTTGTCTACAACTGCTAACTCTTCTTCGACGCTGCTCATTTATAAGAGCAGTGTATAGGTTAAGTTAAATTATTGACTTAAACCGTTTTTTTTTTTGTTTATATCAAATTATCTCAACAAAGTTAAGTAATAGATATCGGCAAAATTGTTATTTAATTTAGTAGTATTTTTTTTAAAACTCTCTTTTTATTTATTTGATTTCAAACACTAAGAGGAATGTTTGAGCATGTTCTCTTATTTGGTTAATCTTCGTGCAAATCACTGGAACCGTTTTTATTAAATTTCTGTTTTGTTTTGTGGGTCTCTTCCTTTTACATCAATCTGTTCTTTACTTACATTGACATTGGCATGATATTGAATACAATAAGCTGACCTTTACATGACATTGATCGGCCTTACAATGACATTGAACATTATATTGTATTTTATTCAGCGTGAGTTTTTTTTTTTTTTTAACTTTCCTTTAATTAATATACTTATTAATAATTTTTAATAGTAGATTCGTTTAAAGGATCTCTTTCGTAGATCCTACCGACTGCGCCAGTAATATTTTTAAACTATACGATTTAATTTTATATTTATTAACAATTGTATGCTTAATTTACATTATTTCATTTGAATGTTTGCTTAAAAACTAAACTAAACTGTCGATAACAACTTCTACCTTGATTGTTTTTATTCATATCGTATGAGAGCGTATTAGAGATATTTATGATTTGAGTGAGTGTAGCAATGTCAATTACACATATACATAATCATATAAATAATCAGAATGTTGATAATGCAGAGGAGCAGTACACAACTTTACTCGATTTTAACTTTAACTTTCTGAAAACAGTCGTAATTAATGTCAGAAAAGAAAAATGTCCGCGAAATTGGTGTACACAATTTAATTTAATAAAACATTATTTACACGTTAAATATTATTTTAATTGAAGTGAAAAGTGCTTGGAATACGATCGAAAACGTGCACTTGATATATTTATATCAAAATCGTGCAAGATTGAATGACTTAGCCGAATGGAAGGGACAGTCTTTGTATTTTTTGTGTAAGGTTTACAGGTGTGGTATTGCCATATGTGGGGTAATCAAGTGTGGTGTCATCGTGTACCAGAGACCTTCAGCGGTGCACTGCAACAAAGAGCAGACCGCATTTACAGCTTCGTTCTTCTTTGTCCGATCGTTTTGTATACATATGTATGTAAGAGAAATACACAAGTAAAAAGTAGGGTATTTTTTGTTGGTGTGCACCAGAAGACTGCAGGAGTGCCAAATTTTCGCATTCAAAGTACTTATACTTGCTTTAAAAACGGTGGTGGTAGCAACTCACACTCAAACACATGTATGTTTGTGCGAATATCTACTCAAAGAAATATGAGCGAGCGAAGCAACTGAGCACCTCGCGTATTTTCTATTACGTTGTAGTTGTGTTTTTTATTCACACTCGTCGTTTTTATTTGCAGACTTGTGGCGGTCTTGCTTATCAAAACAATGTAAAATGCTTGAAACAGTCACCGACGCATAACCAATGAAAGCACAATGTAAATAAACCACCGCTTCTAACGTTCGTTTACGTAAATATCCGCAAAAATTGGACTTTCCCCGTAAAAACAAGTCAGCAGATTGCTTTCTTACACGGCAGGGTTACCAGTCACGATATTATGTAGTAATTAAAAAATAAACTTGATTATATTTAAAATATTCTCAAATTCACAGTCGAAAACTTTTATTTTTAAATAGGTAGACTATTTTTAGGATTGGAATTAGAAGAAGGGACTACGAAGATATAAGAAAAGGAAGAGGCTCAATGCTCGTCAAAGAGCAGGATGCACGTACATCGCAGATTTCAACACAAATATCAACATAGTTTAAAGAGTAGGATGCACGTATGACCCTACAAATATCGCAGTTAGAAACGCGGTTGTCAACGCAGTTGGAAAAGCAGTTCGCAGCGCAAGATGCACGTACAATATATCAGCACATTTGTCCCCACAGTTAAAAGAGCAGGATGGACGGATATCGCAGTTGACCTCACAATTCGCAGAAGTGTTCTTACAGATTTCGGAAGAGCGGGATAGAATTAAAACTGAAGTGGATGAAATGAATGATCATATCCGCGAGCTACAATTTAATCGGCCAATTATGTCGTCAGCTTCAGCCAAGGTAAAACCTCCATCCTTTAATGGCTCAGTTCCATAATTTTAAGCTTCAATTCGAAAGATGGCACCTTAAAATAATTGAAGCGCTGAAGATAAAGTAGCTGCATTGTTCATTGCATTAACAGGATCTGCAGCGGAGATAGTACAGACTATTCCAAACTGCGAGGCGAGTAGTTATAAAACGTTGACGGGTTTATTAGAAAGACGGTATGGTAGTGAGCACAGGAAGCACATCTTCCAAATCGAATTGTGAATTCGCTGCCAGAAAGCCAATGAGTCTGTGCAGGAGTTTTCTACAGAGATTGAGAGGTTAGCTCACTTAGCTTATGCACATTAATCAGTGGAATACATCGAAGACACGAAAATTCAAACCTTTGTCAATAGAGTACGAGATAACACTACACGCTTCGCTGCGTTAGCATGTCCATAATTAACGTTTTGCGGAACCCGTTTCTTATGCTCTTACACAGGAAACTGAATCTCTGCTTAGCAATCAAACATTTAAAGCGCATATATAAGTGAACCAATTACTTGAAAAAATTTGAAATATGTAGAAAGCACTGGAAAAATCTACAGAAGCGCGTAAGAAAAATTATGGTATGGTTAAATGCTTCAACTGATGAAAAAGTGATAATATTGCACGCAACTGTTACCAGTCCAAAAATCCAGTTGGGCCTAAACGCAAAGCTAAAGAAGATCAAGAAAATGTCAAATCCAACCTATCGTTAAACTAAAACGAGCCAGCGGAAAGGGCACGGGCTGGCTCCCGCAAGCAAATGCCCTGTAATCTCCATTCCACAAATTAAAATGAGATTAGCCACCCCTACATATACACACCAATATCTACTCGGGTAAAACTCAACATCGAGAACGCTACACAGATGTCACCTCACAACAACACCTCACACCGCCAACCAACAAAAAGAATGGACAACAGGACAGCCAACTTTTCGATCGATCGCCGTCATCGTAAACTTGCGAAGTGAACATCGTTTTTTCGACTCTTTCTCTGCGTAATCTTTAATTTAATTTGTTAAAGTTTAATTTGTAAACTTTTTTCATCACTTTGTCTTTGCTTTATTGGGAATTAAGGCAGGTGTAAAGTGAAGGTGGTGAATGGTTTTATGCAAATTAGTATCAATTTATTCAGCAGCTAACGTTACCATTAATGGATTTGTAGACGGCAAAATGCGCATACTGACTCTTAATACGGGCGCATCATATTCTATATATATCATATGGAGTAAAGTTGCGTACAGCTTTTGGAGAAAATACCCAAGTTCTCGGAAAAGTAACGTGCGAGATCGTAATTGGAAAGGCGTAAAAAGGCCTTGTTACATAATTTTATAGTGGCAGATTTGTCATAATTGGAGTAGACTTTCTAGCGAATCAAGGAATTAAAATTGACGTGGTGAACAAGATTATGACCCATACAAATATGAAAGGCCACTTATGTTCGGTTACGATAATAAGTACAACATTAGACGAGTGATAACAACAAGGAGCCAGCAGATTCCACCAAAATCAGAAGCAGATTGTTTAGGCCACAAAAAAATCTACATCAAACTTACTTATAGGCAAAATCCTGGCAATGACAAGACAAGATAAACGTGTTCCAGTAAGCGTACTTAATGAATGCAAGTTTCCAATCAAACTCTCCAAAGGGGTTATATTATTGTAGTGTCAAGAGATTGAGGCCGTGATAAATTGCGAAACAGATCTTGAGAAAGATTTCATGGACGAAAACAACATATCGAGGGATATTAACGCATGAACCGAAAAACTAGAGGCAAATCATCAAAATAAAGCTACACTATTTCTAGATACTCATCCATATTTGATAAAAGCGATGCCGAACCAAAAAGAGCCAAAGTTGTGATATATTTTATTAACACGGGTGATGCAAGACCAATCCGCCACGCTCGTCGAAGCGTTCCTGTGGCAAAACGTGGAGTTGAAAGTCAGACCATATGTGAAATGAGCAAAAACGGAATAATCGAACCATCAGAGAGTCCATGGAGCTCACCTGTAGTACTTGTGAAAAAGCAAGATGGCAACATGAGATTCTGTGTGGACTATAGAATGTTGAATGATGTAACGAGAAATACAGTTATCCACCACCTAGAATCGATGACACGCTGGACTCGTTATCAGGCACAAAATCGTTCTCAACACTTGATTTGAAAATTGGTTACTAGCAAGTGAAGGTAAACGAAGAAAACAAAGAAAAGGCGGCTTTCAGCGATGAATATATATGAATATTTATCGTAATGGCCTTTGGATTATGTAATTCTCCTGCTGCCTTTGAGAGACTTGTGGATTGTATATCATCGTTCTGGGTAAAAGCTTCGATGAACACCTTAAAAACTTGGAAGTGGGTTTTCACCGGATACCTAGCGTTGGTCTAAAGCTGGGCCCGAGGAAGTGTTCCCTTTTAAAAGAGGAAGTAAGCTACTTAGGACACAAAGTGACAAGACTGGCCCACTCCTAAAAGCTTACATGATTTACGGATAGACGATTCGTTCCAAATGTTGCCAGTGTAGCTAGTATCCTTCATGAACTCACGAAAAATAACAGAGTTTTTGAATGGAATAAAAAACAGGATGTGGCTTTACAAACTCTGAAGAAACGGTTAAGTACTGCGTCAATGTTAGCGTACCCGGTCCCATGATCAGTGTTTGATTTGGATACGGATGCTAGTGGTATTGCAGTAGGAGGCGTTCTATTTCAAGTCATTGATGGGCATGATAAAGTGGTTTCGTATTACATCCAGACAATAAGCAAGCCAGAGAGAAATTATTGTGTAACTCAGAGGGAGTTACAGACGTTGCTGAAATGCACCAAATATTTTCATAAGTACATCAATGGGCAGCGATTTCTGGGGAGGACAGATCATACACCATTAAAATTGCTTATACAATTTAAAACCCAAAAGGACAGTTGGAACGGTGGATTGAGGAACTCGAAAGTTACGACTTCTCTATAGAACATCGCAAAGGTAGTAGTCATGGAAATGCTGATGCCATGTCCCGCCGCTCCTGTAATTTGGAATGTAGACATTGCTCGAAAGCTGATTTTAAAGAAGACATTTTAAGACTACTAACAATAACATCAGGCTCTGATCCAGAGGAACTACGAAAATGTCAGCAAAAAGATCCAGATTTGAAATGTGTAACACATGGATTGGAGTTGAATAAACGTTCAATGAGAGAAGAAATTGCTACGGAAGCCCTGTCGCAAAGACTTATTGAGTACAATGGAATAGTTTAAAGTTAGTGTCTGGCTGCTTGCATCGCGTATGGGAAAACAAAGATGGGCAGAGTTGCCGAGCTCTGATGATCGTTCCGAAAGTAAGAAATCTAGAAGTTCTCAACGAACTGTTATTAAACGACTCAACGATGTAGTGTATAGTATATAGATCATTGGAAGACCAAGGAATAAAATGAAGGTGGT